AAGGGACAACACGTTGAACATGCCATGCACTGAAATGTAATAGCAATAAACCATTTGTATTTCCAGAATTTATGGCCACCTCATATTGTTCTATTTCTTCACCTACAAAAATGGAGCAAGCATTATATTTATTTCAGGATTTATGGCAGGATTAAATGAGATAAAGCATATAAAATGATGTGTATTTTTATATTTTTTTATCTGCATCTAGTGTTATAAGCAGATTTACAACATTTGTTTATATTTATTGCTTTTCCGTTGTTCACAATGTCCACTGTTAGGGCTTTTCCATCATGAACTCCATCTTCAGGCAATTTTACTTAAAGAAACATACAGAGCGGCATATTTTCCCAACCTCTGTATGCGAAAGAATGTCTTTGCTAAGCTCACAACAGAAAGATATTCTTATAAAATATAGTCACAAGGTGGCATATTCCTCCTGTCACTACTGCCTGTCGCTGTGATTCACCAACACTGTTATAGATTTTAAAACAAAACAAGACACGATTCATAGCCCTCATGGAAACTGAAAATTCTCTTGCTTCCGTTTATTGGACTTGATTCTTGACATTTCAGAAGGATCTTTGCCAGCACCACTCTCTGCTCTCCCCCTCAGTCCCTTTTCCATCTTTCCCCAAACACAAATTTGTCCTCTTTTTACAGAACCTGCTTTAATGTAGAAAGATGGTTGTAGTGAGGGGTGGAGTGAAGGTAAGTGTCCCTGATACAGGTCCCAACAGAAAGATAGCAATTGAGGTTCAGTTTCTGGTTGATCAAACCATGGGACTCTCAATAAGGGTACAAGTAGTGAGAAAAATATAATGCATCCTCCATCCCTTACCCCACCAACACACTTTTTTTCCACAGAAGTTTTTCTTTCACGAGGTGAAGCCAGGGTAGTTTTTTCTCAATTAAGCTCCATGTTGTCATTTCCACACCTTTAGATTGCTTCTCAATCTTAGCTTTTGGTAGAGTGAAAATTTATCATTTTCTATGTGGTATAGGCCAGGGTTTCTGAAATTTGGCACTATTGACATTTTGGGCTGGATGATTCTTTCTTGTGGGGGCTGTCCAGTGCATTGTAGACTGTTTAGTTGCCTTCCTGGCTTCTATACTAGATGCTAGCAACACCGTTCCCCCACAAGTGTCTCCAAACATTGCCCAATGTTCCCTGGGGGGAGGGTGCAAAATCACCCCCTGTGGAGAACCACTGCCTTAGACTAGAGAATATAATCCACTAGAGAGCTCTGGGGAGCAGTGCCCAGATTGGAGCAGCGGTGTTAATAACATCCAGGCAAGACTTCTCTATGTCCCACTCTCTAACCATGAGGACAATTAACATAGGCCTGACTGTTCAGCCCACTGAAAATATACAATGCCAGAATACGTTGGCATTATGCTCTCACCCCTAGGTCATGTGTCAGAATTATCTAGGGAGATTTAAATGTGCCTAAACCCATGGCGATAACTCAAAATATAGTTACTTTCAACAATACTTTGAAAATAAGGCATTTACTAAAACAGTTGATAGATGATGTTATTTAATGTGATCATAAAGAAGTACATGTACTATATGACATTTAGTTTTTAAAAATATTTTGACAACTGTATTGTAGTGTAATTGGGTATTTTTTCATGCCAAGAAAGGCAAAGAGTCCAAGAAGGGCTGGGATGCAATGTAGAAAAGAAGAATTTAATCTAATCCCCATAGCTGCTCAATTACAAACTCCTGCTAGAATCGAGCATTGCTACATAATTCACCAGTTACATGTAAATATAGCAGGCATCAGGTAAACTTACGGTCCCAAATTAAAGATCAGAAAGTCCTTGCAGAAACTGACTTTTATAACTCTTCCCTATAGGAACCTCCTAAATTTTAGGGCAGGCTAAGCTTCCCAGCGTTTTGTCTCTACTTTGCTTTTTAAACTCAATTGTCTTCCCATCGTCTTGTGACTCAATATGGTAATTATTTGTGCTGTTCACCAAATATTTCTAGCTTTCTGACTTTTGGGAATCTGGTAGGATCGTACTTCCCGCTTCCCTTTGGAATTAGACACGGCCATGCAACTTTCTTTGGCCAACGTAATGGAGCAGAAATGAATGTGTGTCACCTTTGGGGGCAACTTCAGGAGCCAGTGAGAAATTCACTATGTCCTCTTTTCTCCTAGAACATTCATGAAAGCGTACATTGAGAGGATAGCCTCTGTGGCTACAGGTTTGGGTTTATTAGTCAGGATCAAGGTCAGCTGGATGTGACAGGAAATCTCAATATAAAAGGGGTAGATAGGCAATCTGAGATGAATATGGTGGTTCTGCTCTGTGATGTCTGCAGGAACCCAGGCTCTTTCCAGTTTATTACCCACCCATCACTAGAATGTGGCCATCATTCTCATGGTCCAAAATGGCTGTTACAGCTCTGCCACTTACTTATGTTCCAGGCAGAAGATGGAATAAGGAATGAAAGGAAGAAACAACAGATAAAAGACAACAGTTGTCTCTTAAAGAGGTTTCCTGGAAGCTGCCACGCGAAACCTGCACTTATGTATCATTGCCCAGAACCTAGCTACGTGGCCACAGCCATCTGCAAGGATATGTAGCTTTTATTTCAGGCACCTTTGTGCCCAGCTAAAACTCAGGTGCTCTACTGCTGTTCAACAAGAGGAGAGTAGATGTGGTGGGTAGGTGACTAGGAATCTCTGCCACTGCGAGCATATGACCTAAGTTGGGACAATTTTAATGGTGCATCTCCTCAATCACAATGCTGGGTTAAGGGAGGGGCATACACCCCATGCCTGCTCCAGTGGAGTTTTTAAGGTGGTGGTTTTTGTCAATTTTTTTAACTTGAGCTCTTGGGGAAGAGTCTTTCCTTCTCAGGTCATAAATCCAAAGACAGAGACCAAATCTAACATGCAAATGGCAACAGAAGCGAGAGAAAAATTAAAGGCCTAGGTAGTTCTTGATTTCCTTTGCCAAGCCTTTTTGAGACTGGTCCACCCCTGCCCTTTCTCCAGTTTAGTTATGTGAGCCAAGAAATCCCTTTATGTTTCCATGAGGAGAAGTTGGGTGTCTATCGCTTGCAACTAAAGTGTTCTAAAGCAGTTGTCTACCTCCCTGGGTTTTTGTGGGGAACACATGTGCTAGTACACGTAGTAGTTGCCATGGTGCTTGGCACATAAAGGTCCTGAAATGTTAGCTCTTAATGATGTGTTTGAAATAACACAGAGTAGATGAAATTTGGACAGACTTTCTCTTTTTTAAAAGCCTCAGCTCAGATGAGGTCTTGCTCACTCCCCAGGAAGATTTAGACCTTTCTCCTCCTTGCTCCCGCTTCCCCATTCTTGCAATTGTCTACTGCTTTATAACTGTCTGCAAATCTATGTTCTCTTCTGATATCCCTTCAGCTTCTAGAGGACTGGAACTGAGTCTTATTCATCTTTAAATCCTCAGTACCTACCACTCTGGCACAGTAGATGGTCAACAAATATTGTTAGAGAAATAAACATTTGAAGAGTATTCATGATTAAAGGTGGCAGTAATAGCAACCAGCATTTGTAGAGTACATGCTATATTCTAAGCACTGTCCTAAGAACTTTACATTTTTATGATTAAATCCTCACAATAACCCTCAATATGCTATTACTACTACTCCATTTTACAGATAAGCAAACTGATGTAAAGGTCATACAACCAGTGAACGGCAGAGCCAAGATTTCATCCCAGGCAAACTGACTCCAGAGCCCTAACATTTCAACCAATACACTGTGATATCTCTCATTGAAGGGATGTCATTAAATACAGATGGAATTAAATCTCCTAATACTAGAGACAGAAGAAACTTTGAGATCATTGAATTCTGTCATGAAATAGACGCAGAAACTGAAGCCAAGGATTGCAAGTGACTTGGTTCAGGTGGTTTATATAAGTGCAGAGGTATATTTGCACAGGACCTCTGACTCCTAGTGGGAATCTTATAACCAAGACCCTACCTCTTATACAAAGTGTGCTCCTCTTTGCACCTGCATCACCCACTTTGGGATCTTGCTTTGGAAACGCCACTTCCGGTGGCAACTTGTTTTTCAAAGTAGCTATGCGCCAGGTACCATTCAAAGCTAAGGAAACAGATCTCTGTGGGTCTCACCTGTTGAAACAGACCACAAGCACATGCAAGAGGACTGGGGAAAGGCTTCAGATCTCAGCACAAACTTTACGTCCTCAGAGAAGCCTTGCCTGGCCTCTCCAAAGTCAAGTCTGTCTACCTAAGATCTCCTTCACAGCACTTAGCATCCTCAGCTGCAATTATATATATTATTTGTGGAATATCCTGCTAATGGTCACCTCACTTGTTACCCTTGTAAGTTCCTTGGGGACAAGATCCATGTCAATTGTCACTCCTCCCCATATTCCTGGTGTCCTGGCACATAATAGGCACTCAAAAATATTTGTTTAATGAATGAAGGAATGAATAAATGGATGAATAAATAAATGCATAAAAGATGCACCATGACACACCATCCCTATGGGTTGCACAGGGGTAGATGCAACCCCTATATGGTGTGATCTGAGGGGGCCCTCAAGAGCCTAGACATTCACGCACCCCACTGATCAGAAATCCCCACCAGGAAAGTCAAACATCTATTTGGTGAGGCCTTTGGGGCACCGAAGGGGGAAAAAGAGACACAAAAGGTGAGCAAGCAGTTTTCAAAGGATGCTTTCAACTCTGGCCAGTCCGTGTGTGTTTTCCTCTACAAAGTGTTTCCAATTACTGTGGCACTCTCGGTATCTGGATCCATCTCCAGTGAATTCCTCTGCGGCTCCTGCCAGACATATGGGATCAATCAGGGCTCCGGCGCTGGTGCGCTTGCTGCGGGAATGTTGACAGCCTGACAGACGCGGGGTTCTGGTGTCATGGAATCTCCGAGTCTTTGGCTACATCCCGGGAGGAGAATGAGAGGGGGAGGAGAGAGATAGAGGCAGAGATAGAGGAGAGGGGAGAGGGAGAGACAGAGAGAGGAGGAAGAGGAAGAGACGGAGGGAAGCGGGAGATTTTTCTTGACTGCCCCCTTTCCTTCAAACATTTTATAGGCTTCAGGGAGAGAGAGGAGGAGGAGAGAGGGAAGGAAAAAGAGGAGCGCGAGAGGGGTAGAGAGCGCGCGCCGTTGCCTCCCGAGTCCCCGAGCTGCCGGAGGAGTCTGGATTGTGTCCCCAGTGTCAGATGAAAGGGCGCTGAGGCTCGCGGCCGCCGTCCCGCGCCCCGCGCCGCGCACGCCCCTCTGCGAGCCCGGCCGCCGAGCGTCTCTCCGCGCCGGGGCGGCCGCTCCGTCTCCAGCGCGATGTGGCCGCGCCTGGCCTTTTGTTGCTGGGGTCTGGCGCTCGTTTCGGGCTGGGCGACCTTTCAGCAGATGTCCCCGTCGCGCAATTTCAGCTTCCGCCTCTTCCCCGAGGCCGCGCCCGGGGCCCCGGGGCGGCTGCCCGCGCCGCCCGCGCCCGGCGAGGACGCGGCGGAGAGCAAAGTGGAGCGGCTGGGCCAGGCGTTCCGGCGCCGCGTGCGGCGGCTGCGGGAGCTCAGCGAGCGCCTGGAGCTCGTCTTCCTGGTGGACGAGTCGTCCAGCGTGGGCCAAGGCAACTTCCTCAGCGAGCTCAAGTTCGTCCGCAAGCTGCTGTCCGACTTCCCCGTGGTGCCCACGGCCACGCGCGTGGCCATCGTGACCTTCTCGTCCAAGAACAACGTGGTGCCGCGCGTCGATTACATCTCCTCCCGCCGCGCGCACCAGCACAAGTGCGCGCTGCTCAGCCAAGAGATCCCGGCCATCACCTACCGCGGCGGCGGCACCTACACCAAGGGCGCCTTCCAGCAAGCCGCGGTAAGGCGCCCGCCCCTCCCCGACCCCCGCCCTCGCCCCCCGGGCCTTCCCACCCGCCACCGCCTGCCCTTCTCTCAACCTTGGGCAAGCCACAACCTCCCCAAGTCAAGCGTCCCCATCCACAAAATCCCCCTCATATCTACCCTCCTATTGTTGTGGGGGCCCCATGGGATGATGACTTTTAAACGCTTAGCGAGATGTCAGGCTCTTTAAGTGGTCTTCTTTAAGGACCCTCTTAGGAAGGGGTCCTTAAGATGCTGTTCACCTTCACGCTTGTAGGGACAGACCGTGTCCAAGCTGGAACAGGTGAGTATGTTTTATGAAGTGTCTCTAAAGGTAAGTCGTGAAATGACCTGAGTATTTCCCCAATTCTCTTTTACATAATTTTATGCTTTCAATATGCATTTCATTGCATGCCCTTCCTATTTTTGCTCTGAGCCCTTTACAAGATTTTTAGCATCTGAAAGAGGAAGCTTTAGATGATGGACTTTTACAAAATTTAACTTTTTCTGATTACAAGGTAATACATATTCAGTTGAAGAAAATTTGGAACATATGGAAATGTCTGACACATAATAGCAATGTTTGTGGAATGAATGAAGCAAAAAGAAGGAAAAGGAAAACAAAACAATCCCATCACCCTTAAAAGCCACTGTTTACATGTTGTTGTTGAACATTTGCCCAGTATGCACATCTGTGCATACTTTTAACCAAATTAGTGTCTTGCTGTTTTGTAGCTACATTTTTAGTTTATGTCATGAAATGATTACGTTATTATATTATATATCTAATATAATATATATCTACATTAGTTGCGCACTATCCCATTGAATGCGTGTACCCATGGATACATAATTTATTTTACCAGTCACCTGTTGTTGGACACTTAGGTTTTTTATTACCTAAGTTATAGTAAACACAAATATTTGTGGACCCCTTTGATTTCTTCTTTAGGGAGAATTTCTATAAAGTTCCTGAATTAAAGGAAATAAACATAAACTTCTTGATATATGTTGTCCAATTCTCCCTTGGAGGGTTGTGTAGATTTACATTCCCACCAGCAGAGTATCATGGCACTAAGTTTGCCACATGGACTATTATTTTTAATATCTTTGCCAATTTGATAGGTGAATAGAGGTAGCACTTTAGCAAATCCAAATTTTTTAGTTTTATTGAGGATGAACATTTTCCAGGACATTTACTGGGCATTTGTATTTTTCCTTTGATAGTTAACTTGGTTATAAGTTTTGCCCATTTTGCAATTATGGCACGTTTGTTTTTTTTTTTTCTTAATGATTTGTAAAAGCTCTTTATATAGTAAGGCCAATAACTGTTTTTTGTATATGCTGCAAATATTTTTCCAGTCACATATAAGTAAAAGCCTTTTACTTTTGTTTATTGCAGTGGTGTTAGAGGGATTATTTAAATTTTATATATTCAAATCCATCAAATATTGTCTTTAAGATCCTATGTTTGCTTATATTCTTAGAATGGCCTTCTTATTTCCCAAGTTGGAGAAATAGTTTTCCATTTAACAGTTTAACCTGTCTGGAAGTTACTTTAGTGTATGGTATGACAAAGATGTCTAATTTTATTTTTTAATAAGTAGTTAACAAGTTGTTCCAGCGTCATTTGCTTAATAGCCTATCCATCCTTTCCCAATTTAATTGAATGCCACTTTTATCATACACTGAATGTTTATGGGTATTTGATCTCCTCCTGGAAAAAATGATTTCTAATAATTTTTATTATCCTGGATGATAGATATCCCATCCTATTATCTATTATTTTTAAGCTTTGCAAAAATGATTTAATTATTATAACTTTACAATATATTTAAATATCTGGTAGGGCAAATTCTCTCTCCTTTTATCTTATCTATTCTTTTTAAATCAATTCTTATGTATTTATTACTTAATATGAATTTTTAATTCATTTTCACATATTCCAAATGAAACTAGCCAGGATTCTGATTTCAACTGGGGATTATTTACATTTTATAGTAATAGTCCTTTGAAGTAAAAAATATAGTATGTCCGTTTATAACCAGTCCTTTTTATATCCTTCAGTAAAGTTGTAGGTTTCTAATAATTAAATCCTGCATATATTTTCCAAATTTAGACCTCAATATATTGTATTCAATATTGCTATCATGAAAGGCATCTTTTCAAATTAAATTTTAAGCAGTTATTCTTGATGTATAGAAATATTGTTGATTTTTGGAATATGTCTTCTGTATCTGGATTCTTGTTTAAGTCTCTTTGATTCACTTTTTTTTATTTTTAAATACGTTTTATTTAACTGATAATAAGTGTTTATTGTATAAATAAAATAATCAGAAAAATTTCCTGTAAATACATTGTAGTATTTTGGTATATACCATTCTTGACTTTTTGCAGTTGTCTAGGTAATAGATACGTTTTCATACATGTACATATATCATGCATAAATAACGTTTACCCAAAAAAGGATCATATTGTACATTCTCTTTTATAACTTGACTTTCTATCCACCATATTTTCAGTCTTCTTTCCATAATAAGAAATACTTTTCCACTTTATCATTTTTTCGTGGCCACATAGTATTCCACTGTGTGGAATGTGCCCTTATTTTTGTTACATAATTACCAATTATTATACATTTAGGCTGTTACAGACAGCACTGTGTGACTAAATCTTAGCCTGTATCTCTAATAATTTCCTCAATGCAAATTTCTGAAGTGGTAGGTATTATTGCATCCAAGACTAGGCCTATTTTTTAAGGCCTTTGATACATGTGCCAAGTTGCTCTGCAGAAAATTAGTACCAAATTGCACTCCCATATTGCAGTGCCTGGATCAGCATCTAGGATGCAGCTAGCACAGGTTAGTATCATTTGAGCATGCAACCCCGACTTTATATGTGAAAAATGGAGTCTCACTTTAAGTTGTATTTCTTTATTAGTGAGGCTGAACACTTTTTTTCATCTATTATTAGCCAGATATAGCTCTTCTTTTTTGACTATCTGTTAAAATATTTTGAGACTATTATCCATTTTTCATTTGAGAATGGTTCTCTTTCTTACTGATTTGTGAATGCTCTTTAAATCTTAATGATATTAACTTTTCTGCTTCTAAGTACAAGTGTTTTTTTTCCTCTGTTTCACTTGCCTTTTAATTTTGTTTATGGTGATAGCATCTATCATTTTATCACTCTATTGAATCTACTTTTCATTTGTGCTTTTTTTCATTTCCTATGAAGTTTGGAAGGCTTTTACCTTTAAGAGATGAAATGACACCTTAAAGATGCTCTCTGTTTATTGAAGTAGTTGCACCGGGCAGGGTTCAGTTTTGCAGACCCAGTGCTCTGTTGGCCTCCACTCCAAGTACTCATGAGGTCCCAGTGGCTGGCCTTATTCCTGATGTCCCTGCCCACTCCATCAGAGAAGAACTCTGCTGTGTTGGGGAAAGACTTGCCATATACCAGCTCCTCTGTTTGGTTTGGCCAGATTTGCCTGGGGCCTCTGAGTACTGTTGATCCAAAATAGTTAAATGGGTAATCAGTTGAGTATGCACTGCTCGCCTCAAGACCCACTCTGTCTTCAGTTTTCTCCTTCCAAATACTACATCCTGTCTTGGAAAGTGGAATTGCCAACAAGGTTCCCAGTGCCTTTCTTCAGTCTGGATCCATTTGTAATCTAACAAGCAGAGATTTCTCAGAAGTTTGTGTTAACTGAATGTCCTCTTGACTTTATTTTTCTTTTCTTATTTTGGTTGGGTTACGAGAAGGTGCAGGAGAGGGTCAGCTGGACTCAGTCCCTGTCTAACCTGGAAACCTACATGTCTTTATTGTAACTTTCCCAAACTTCTGATGAGCATTCTTAGGTATAATTAAATACAATATTTGGAGAAAATTAATAGAGGATGACCAGTGTTTAGAAATGGCATTAGTGGAGGTTTGAATGTGAATTTTTTGCATAGAGATCAGTTAAATGTCTTTCCTCTCAGAATGAGTTTGAAAATGGTAAGCTGTGTAGTTTGGGTGTGGATGTGAAACTTACACATTTCATCAGGGAAATAAGACAGTTCCTCAGATTCCCACGTGTGTGCAGAACGGTAATATTGGAACGGATTGTGGTCTGACCTTTATGTGAAAATGAAAATCGTAAGGACGTTTTTGAGGTTATTAATCACTTTCCCCAGAAAAATTAGTTTTTCAAAACTTTTCCATTAGAAACCGAATGCCCACACAACTATATACAGACACAAACACAGGCAGACACATACACAAATATACACATAGATACATGCTTGCAAGTGCACAGCTGCCCCTCACAATTCAGACCTCTTACTCCTCTTATGTAAAATCTCAAGATGTGGAATGTCTTTTACCAGCATGAAATTTGCTGTTATCTTTCAGCACATGTGATTGACTAAACAAAAAGGATGACAGTGTTTCTTCATTTTTTAATTTGGTGTTGGGATTGTACAACTGGATAGAGAGTATATGCATGAACACTATCGTCACACTGTATTTGAACGGATAAATTGCAGAGTAGACCTTTTCTTTTTACACACCACCCCCTAGCACTCATCAAGGAGTGCAAAGACTAAAGGAAATCTGGAGTTAGCACAGATCCTTCCAGAGACACAATCAATAGAATGGGGGAAAGAGTTGGCACCTTGAACTTAATTCCATGAAAATCTTTTACAAAATTAACCGAAAGCTCTTCAGCTGTTCCTTTCCAGGGAATGATTGTTTCATAACGACCCTTCTTCCCGGTTTTTCTCCTCACCATGTATTTATGTATTGCTTTTCCTAGACTGCATATTTTGGATTGACCCCACTATGAATGCAAGACTCTCCATCTCCTAAGCCTTTCATGTCAGACTAAAATCAGAGCCCCTCATTCCCACTTCATTTTGGCTAAATATCTGTTAAACAAATATAGCATGAAGCTTCCTTTGAAAAAAAATTTCCACTTTCTTCATTGTTCCCGAGTTCCGAAATGTGATCCTCTGG